AAATTTTGCAGGAGAGCGAAAAAGCGGTTTTTCTTTGAAGGCATTACCTTGTTAGGCGATATTTTCTCTAGCTACTATTTTACAAATCTGTTGTTTTAATAACGATTTTAAAATTTGTATGCATAAATCTCGATGCCTGGAGTTCAGGGTTACCAAATGGCATTTTTGCAAAACGGCGGATTAGGTGGTTTTGCAACTGGTCGATGGACGGTTTTGAAAAAACATCAACGACTTGTACATATTTACATAGAACTTTATTCATATAGTTGCCGGAGTACACGGGAATTTTGATGGCAAATGCAAAGCTGATGAACTGACAAGGAAAGGTAGGGCCGCCCACAACTTCCAGGATAGGGCTCGGTAGATATAGCAATAGCTACTTTCAAGCAGTTGTGTTAGAGATCACACCATTCTAGAACCAAGGAACGCTGGACCAACTTTTCGCCTTGCGAAACTTTAAGAATTATTCGTTATTTGTATAAATGGAAACGCTAACGCTATGTGACATGTAGGACCGAATCAAAAAAGTTACCAAATTGAAAAATAAATTTCCAAATTACCAAATTTTATATATAAAAAAAAAATAACCATTTTTGGTTAAAAATTACCAAAGCGGCAACGCTGTTCATAAACGCTACATCAAAATAGGTTTGTTCTACAAGCTACTGTGAGCGTATATCAAAGCAACTCTAAAACTTACTTGTGGAACGCGTATATGTAACTCGTTATATGTTATTTGTGAAAAAAAAGACACGAGATTTTTTTTTATTTTGAAAAAAAAAACATTTTTTTGGAGGTCACGCTAGTCGGGTTTTTTATAAAAAACGCTGATGTTTTAAATTTTTTTTTATTTTCGTAACATGGTAAAGTGCAGCTAAGAATGTTGTTCTTACATGTAATTACTCAGGTATTATTGGGGATATGCCGCGCGTACGTGAAAAAGAAAAGTTCTCACAATTATATTTCGAAGCAGCCTTAACTGATGGACGTTTTCTTGAGGTATTCGAGAAGAATAAAATATCGTGTGTTTCGCGAGTTTGAGTTTGCAATGATTGCCAGCTCATATATTATGGCAATGTCGAAATTTTATCGCAGAAGAGTTTCCATACAAAAGTACTCAGCTGTGTCGCCAGGTGGCAAATTTTGCAACAAATGCGAAATTTGCAACAACTTTCACATTTGCAACGACGTTTCATGAATCCCATTAATATACTTTTGAAATTCAAAACTTAAACTCTCACACACATTCTCATTTTCAATATCAAGCAACAAAAGTTCTGAGCAATTTGATTTTTTATTTTCAATTTTATGTGATTTTAAAATGCCAGAAATAAAATCATTGCCGACGAATTTAGAGAAGATTTTTATAAAATCCGATGCAAAGAAATGTGCCGCACTGCGTTTCTTTCATATTTTTTTATATTCCCTGTCAGCATTTTATTTATTTTCTTGATTGTCATCTGGCTATCATTTCTGAAATTTCAAAAAAATGCTTGCTTGGCGTCCAACATTATCATATTGGCTAAAAAGTTGGAACATATAAACCTTGCCTTATTCTAATTTGTGAACTTGTCAAAAAAAAAAAGTTGAGCGTCCTTTAACGTACGAGAGCCAAGGATGACTTCGACTTCTGGTCTACGAAAGGTGACGAAGTGTCCTTATATTTATCCAGCCCAGTATCCTCCCTGAAGTCGACCCATTAGAAGAATGGGAGGAGCTGGAAACTGGGTTTCCTTTGTTGTATAAACAAGCACGATCAGATTTACATATAGTTGCCACATCTGTTCCTTGCGAACTAGGGTTTTAGAAAGCAGGAGCAACAAGAACCACGTCAACAAATCGGTTGACTGGCAAACATTTGGAAATTCTTCTAATCTAAGGGTCTGATTATGCATACTTCGCATAACTTCGCACAACCATTTGTACCAGAGCACTAAAAGTGTAACTTAAGAAAATGTGAAGCTAAATCTAAACTCAACAGATCGCCAAGTTTTTAAAAGTTCTGCTAACTTCTGGGTAATGGAATACATACAAAATACATACGAAATTACAGTTTGAAGTTTATGCGAAGTTGTGCGAAGTTATGCGAAGTATGCATAATCAGACCATAACTTGTAATATTTTCCAATGTATATGTATCTGTGCAAATACCAATTATAATTAAACAAATAGTTCTGCTGGAGTTTTATTTATTTTCAGTTCCTACGTTCCTAAAACTGTTGATCAGAATAACAAATGCAAGTGTGAAGTAGCTAGGAACCCTAGCCTATGATATACGGTAGATTTTTGGTTTTTTTTTGTTGATGTTGATTGTTGAGTCAGATATTTTCTTCAATACAAAGTGTGTTCTACGACTTGTTTACATGGTAAGAAATGAACGAAAACTTTAACTAAACAAATTTTCAAAAATCGACTTTATGCCCCAGCTACTTCAAACTTGCACTTATTATACTAAAATTGAATGGCCAACAAGATACATTGTTTTTATTGATTATATTTAATATTTAATATTCAAAAACTAGCGGAAAAATTTTGTTCATTAAAAATTCGTATCTCTGCGAGCGCTAACTGAAAAATTTAGATAGGGGGCTGAAATTTTGTCGCAACTATTTTATTACCGGGAACGAAATTTTCTTATGGGCCGAAAGAAAAAAGGTAGTTTTATTTGACGCAGTCTAATAAATACATTACATTTTTTTCATTTGGGACCGAAAGAAAAGAATAGTCGCTTTAATTGACCCAGCTTAATATTTTATTTTTATTTTATTTCTTTTTTACAGCTTATTAAGCCTAGTTTATACACAATTCTTAAAATATACTCGTTATAGCCTAACCTAAAATATACAGTATAAGCTACTAATATGAGCAACCAATTTTAGTGATGAAAAATGTGGCCAAATTCCGAATCGTATCAATACATGCTATGGTATAAAGGCCGTGTATGCATATGAAGTGCGAAGCAAGCATCCAAACGGCGATGCACTGAATCGATCTAGTGATGCGTTTCGGGATGAGCTTCGGTTACTTTACGGATGCGTTTGGGAACGGTATAACCATGTTGGCGTGGGGAAACTGTATACTTTGTACGTATGTGCATTGCGATAGGTAGACCGGAAGATTGCCCATGTATCACTAAATTGGAAGGCTCCTACAATAATTAAACAATTTTTTTTTAATTCATTCATATTGCTGGATTTAACCTCATTTGGCAATTCATTATAACATTTTAATACTTTGTAATACAAGTTACATTTATCTGCTTCGGTTTTGTAAGCAGGTAGATTAAAGTCATTTCTATTACGAGTATTTATGGAATGTACGTTATTGACATACTTAATGTTGCTTTTCAAGTAGTCGGGTAAGTTGCCATCTATAATATTCTTGATAAATTTCATTGTATAATAAAACAGCTGTTGAATAATGCTCATCCAGTTTAGAGTAGATAGCATATTTCTGATAGGGGTGTCATAACGTTTAGTAAGAATGAATCTGATAGCTCGGTTTTGTTGTTTCTGCAATTTATAAATCTGACTATCTCTCATTATGAAAAATATGGTGGGACAGTAAACGAAATGAGGTTCAATTATGGATCTATATACCATGGCCTTGTACCTTTTACTTAAGTATTCGCACGTTCGTTGCGTAAAGTATAATTTTTTGGCTATCTTTCCCACCGTGTAATCAATGTGTTCATTAAAGTTCAATTTGTCATCGATTTTTATTCCTAGGTATTTGAATGTATTAACTCTTTCAATTGGTTCATTGTTTATATTTAGGTTCTGCACCTTGGTGCTCTCAAAATTACGTCTTTATATAACCATAAATTTAGTTTATCATTATCATTTTATCATTAATATAAATATTGAACAAAATAGGAGCTAATACAGATCCTTGTGGCAGCCCGATTGATACTCTTTTTCTATCAGGCAGTGATGATCCGATTGCTGTTCTTTGATTCCGATTCTTAATAAACTTTTCAAAACATTTTAGTTCAATACCGGTAATACCTACATTGCACAGATTTTGGTCGATCGTCTCAAAAGCACGTTTCAAATCTAAGAAGACAGCTATTATATGTTTATTCCTGCTCAAGTCTTCTTTACAGTTAGCAATAACCAAGTTCAGAGCACTTTCGCAGGAATACCTTTTACGAAAACCAGATTGCTGTGGAATAATAATTTTATTATCTTCTAAGTACGGTACAAGTTGGTTTTTCACCACTCTTTCTAGTATTTTTTCGTCACATGGTAATGTATTTATGGGTCTAATCTCATCAGCTCTGATAGTATTTTTTATTTTCTCTATTGGTACAACGATCGACGTTTTCCATAAGTTTCGAAAATCTCCTTTCTCTAAGCTTTCATTCACAATTTGAGCATAAAAGTATCCAGTATAAGTTATTGAGTCTTTAATGACTCCTTCAGATATGAGCTTTTTTCCACCAAATTTGTTTTAGAATTTGCTTACTATATTCAGAATGTCGATTGTAGATAATTTTTGGAATTTAAAAGTAGAGGCGATAATTCCCGTGATTACGAAGTCCCGAATTCCAGCACTAATATTTATGCTGATTTCCATGGCACTATCAATAAAATAGTTGTTTCGTGAGTGCGCTATTTCACCCTCATGTGTGAGAAGTTGGTCGTTTATTAATATTCTTTTAAAGGCATATATATACATACATATTTTTTTTTTGTGTATGTAAAATTTTGCTCAATAATTCAATAATTTTACTTGAAGTTATCGTGTTTTGAGCTAATGTGTGTACGTGCCTTCTTATCATTAAGAAAAAATTAGAATTAGAAAGAAAGAAATTCAGTGTTTGTTGAAAATCTTCGGTTTGCTTCGGTGCCGACCAAACACTGAAAAATTGGTCGAAGTTCGGTTGGGCTTTACAAAAAATATTTATTTACGCTTAACCGAAGTTTTCTGTACATGAAACCATGATTTCGAATAATTTCAATAACATTACATATGTACATTTGATATGTATTTTTCAGGTCACGGAGGCGTCAATCAGCTGGGTGGCGTTTTTGTCAATGGACGACCGCTTCCCGATGTGGTACGGCAACGTATCGTTGAATTAGCACACAACGGCGTTCGTCCTTGTGACATATCACGACAATTGCGCGTTAGTCATGGCTGTGTATCGAAAATCCTTTCAAGGTAAGCGTATATTTATATACATAATAATAATAATAATAATAGATTGGCGCTTACACATATGTTAGTGTTTGGCCGAGCTTCTCCTCCGATTTGTGACGTGCGCCTTGATGTTGTCGCACAAAGCGGGGGGACCTACAGTTTTACGCCGACTCCGAACGGCGATTGTATTTTTATGAGAAGCTGTTTTTCAAGGCAGAAATACACTCGGAGGTTTGCCATTGCCTGCCGAGGGACGACCGCTGTTAAGAAAAAACCTTTTTCTATATTTTTTGCGATGTTGCTTTGACCAGGGCTTGAACCCAGACGTTGCGGAGTGGAATACATACATACATATTTGTATTATATTCAGTTAGACGAAATGTCCAAAAATATGTTAACACTAATGTGATCGGGTAGGTACTCTGCCCTTTCGTAAGTGGTTGGCATAGATACAAATGTACGTACTTACGGTGGCGGATACAGCCGGAGGTCCAACCAACCCCACGTGAATTCGATCGTCGATGAAAGAAACATGACTTAGTATCTGTCATTTTATTTACCAGACAAAATACATACATTGGGATCATATAAATAGCTGTGCCCATAAAAGTACATACATTTCGTCGTTCAAAGTACAAAACCGCGTATCAACAAAATGCAAAACCGCGTATCAAGATAATGCAAAACCTCGTATGTGAGATTGCATATATTATTTTCTAGAGAGTAAAAACACTCTTATTTCAAAATGATTCTTTTTTTTATAAATAAATCGCATTTCTGGCTAGTATATTTTGAGACAAATGGATAAGGATTGAGCCAAGAGCTTATGTGAGCAAAACCAATTTTTGGCAGCCAATGTCAGTTACGCGGTTTCGCAGAATGACGATACGCGGTTTTGTACTTTAAACGATGATATGTAGATACATTTGTTAATAGAGCCCTTACCGCCAAAACACGTAAGCGATTTTTTTGTAATTTCCATTTGGATGTAGCGGTACTTCTAGAGCTCTTGATACATTTCTACAGCAAAAGGAAAATGTTGAATAAAAATGTAGCCTACGTTTTTTAACAATATAAATAAATAAAGTTTTTTTATTGGGAGCTCGGAGCGAAATAAAATACTGGAGCGAAGCGATGAAAAAATCCCTATGCTTCGAAGCCCTGGAACTAATATATAGAAGACATGTGGCCATGGGCGTAACCAAAACGAAATTTAGGGGCGGGGGGAGGGCCATACAAAAAAAAAATTCAAAACCAATAAATTACTTACTAAAAATTTTTTATTATAGCTTAAAATTATTGCAACCAATAGAGGTAAATATGTTGTACAAAAACACATAAACAGAAGATCGACCCTATTAAGCTGGCATTTCAGGGTACTATTTTATATATATATAAGGAAAATTTGAAAGTTAGGGGGGCTTAAGTACCCCCTGACCCTACCTGGCTACGCCCATGGTCTGCGGTACTTGCCGTCGCCAACGCGTAAAGGCCCGTAAATCTTCCGCAAATCTTTCTCTCGAATAATCCAAGAGCCACCTCATCGGGTGCGTCTGCCATTCAAAAGGGTAGAAAAGTGTTCCCTCCATTAATTGAGTATGTTCTGGACATCGATAACTTGATCGCCATGGTTGTTCCTACAGGAGTCTTGAAACCTTCCGTAAGTCACTCAACTCTCTGCTAAATTTTTCGGGTGTTTTTTCTGTCGGCCAGCATTTCATGCATTTTTCTCAGACTCCTCATCGTACCAGTAATGAGCGGGAAATGTGGTTTCACTGCTCACGAAAGTCGGTTTGTTGAAGAATGCTCTCTCACAGCAGGTGTGAGGGTCGAGCGGCGAATCCATTGGCCGTCTGTTTTGATTGCAGCTTTTCGACGTTGAACTTTCCTTGCAATCTTGTGGGCCTTTTTTTTGCTGCACCGAGGTGGGATCGTATATTGGCTGCGAGTAGTGCCTGGAAGCATGCCTTCCGTCTATCACAACATGCTCGTTTTGGTTTCCCGATGTGGAGACACCCATGTAGCTTTATGAATCTTTTTATACTAGAACCCAGTAATACATACTGCCAAGTTTCGGGCCCCGGCGAAGTCGATCAGACTCAGCCCGCCGTTTCTATGTGGAGGCTGAATTAATATAGTAGTGCGAGTAGTGCCTGGAAGCATGCCTTCCGTCTATCAGAACATGCTCGTTTTGGTTTCCCGATGTGGACACACCCATGTAGCTTGATGAATCTTTTTAAACTAGAACCCAGTAATACATACTACAAAGTTTCGGGCCCCGGCGAAGTCGATCAGCCTCAGCCCACCGTTTCTATGTGGAGGCTGAATTTTCCGACACTGGTGCCAAAGATCCCTTCGTTGCCCACCTTGGCATTTAAATCGCCAAGCACGATTTTTATACGTGTCGGGGGCAGCGCTAATATATACGCACTAAGCTAAGAGATCCTTGGGTGCCTTGTCTTTCTCTTCCATCCGGGCATTGACACATATGAACGAGATGTTGAAGAATCTCGCTTTGATGCGGATTGTGTCTAGACTTTCGCCCACTAGAGTGAACGCCGGTCTCTCTCCCATCACAAATCCAACACCGAATTGCGCTCCTTTACGTGGCAACTGTAGTAGACATCGCAAGGCTCCAAGCTTACCTTCCTCGCCCCGTCCATCGCATTTCATGGATGGCGGTGACGTCAGCCTTTATTTTCTCTAGGATATCAACTAGCCGGGCAGAAGCACCATCCCGATTAAGGGTTTGGATATTCCAGTTGCATACCCTAAAATCATAGTCCTTCCTATGTTTGCCGTGATCGTCATCAAAGGAAGGGGTATCATCCGAGGCATGTGGTTTTTTTCATACAGGGTTTTAACGTGGCGGGACCCAAACCCAGCGCACGCGGGGTGATACGCGATGGAATTATCGAGCAAGCATTTCGTGGTACTATTTTTGAATATCTAGACAAAAGTTTGAAAGTTGGGGGAGGGGGCCCCCCTGTCCCTACCTAAAAAGTGTAGCTTTTGTAGTTTAATTGTAATTTTTACTATTTCCGTCAATGCATTAAATCTCTTTTCCCGCAACCAAACAAAACCTTTTTTTTTTGTCTACTGCAGTGTGTTTATTGTTCAATTCATTATACAGCTTCAGTTAGTGTAGGCTTAATTTAACGTAACTTATCATTGAGATCTCTTCAGCTAGCCTATAAAGTCAAAGCCAAAAAAAATAAAGTCTAATGGGTTCGACTTAAGGGAAGATACTGGGCAGGATAAATATAAGGACACTTCGTCACCTTTCGTAGAAATTTTTTTCTTTGGTCGACGGCGAGCTGTTTGTGGTCTTGCCAGAAGTCGAAGTCATCCTTGCCTCTGTACTTAAAGGACGCGCAATTTTTTGTGATAAGTTCACAAATTGGAATAAGGCAAGGTTTATATATTCCAACTGTTTACCCAATATTGTAATGATGGACGCCAAGCAAGATTTTTTTTGAAATTCCAGAAATAACAGCCAGATGACAATCAAGAGAATATAAAAAAAAATATGAAATTATCATGATAAAAACCATGATACAATAATTTTCAGAAGGTAGTTTCACTTCAAAATTTTTGACATAAACCGTGTCTGTGACAAACACGCAATGTGGCCACTGCTACGATATAGAACTTGGGGATTATCGCTTGTTATTTTAGATATTTTTTAACAGAACATGTAAAGATTTATATGTTTCATAACTGATCACTTAATTTTTAATATAAATATACGTATTTTATACATACATTTTTGCCACTGCTAATCACATGAATAAAAATCATAAAAATGAAAATATAACAGCAATATTTCTTGTTTATAATGGATTAGATCCATCGCACACCACGGACTTTATCGGCCGCCAATTTAGATGTGCTCGCTAGACCTTCCATTGCACCACAACTTAATGGTCAGAGCGATTAAGCTGGTGTAATGTGCGCACCTCCATACATCTTCATGTACATATTTCAAGCGAGCCCTATCATTTAAATAGGCGGACGATAAAGTCTGTGGTGTGCGGTGGCTCTTATAGCTGTGTCCTTACATCTATTCCGTGTGTTGCAATATCCACGAAAGCAGCAGTTAATTTTTTATGAAGAAAATTATTACAAAATATTCGAAAATTTCTCTACTATATGTTTGGCTTTTCTTAGTTTTATTTTTCCAACGTCAAAAGCTGGATTTTTTTTTTGAAAAAGTTGGTACAACAAAAAATACGAAACACGTTTTCTGTCAGATAGCCAACATGGCCGATAAGAAGAAGAAGTGAAACTACCTTCTAAAAATTATTGTATCATGATAAAAACCATGATTCAATAATACAAGGTTCTGTAATTTGTGACAGCTAAAATTTGACACTCCTTTATCCAGATTTGTATTTTGGAAATAGGAGAAAGGGGAAGAATGTGATCGCCGTTTGCGAAAACGGTCATAGAAAGGTACTACAAAAAGTACGCAAAGTATACAATTAGAAGTAAAATGTGTATTATTTATTCTATGCAAATTTGCAATATATTTGGTGTTTTAATGGAAATACTAAACAATACATAAATATGTGCATTTTTGATTTAAGTTATTCATCATTTCCTGGAACCGACCGTTCAGCTATGCAAAAAGGAAAACTGCAGATCAATAGAACTTTTTATGCTCATTTCAACCATGCCAAAATTATTTGGCGCAAGTAAAAAAATCAAGACGTTCTAGAAGGTTAAAGTTCAGTTTTTAAATTTTTTAAATATTAATATCTTACGAACTGTAAGTATAACTGATAAAAAAGCTAATGACGCCACCATAAAGATAATTAATTTGTCTTTCAGCTGGTGTACATAGCTGCTTGTTTTTTAAACCAAAACCACTAAGAGGTCTATTCTGCACGTTACCAAAGATTTTGTAACCGGAAAATTGTATTACCAAAAAATGTTACTAGTTCTTGTCACCGCGATTCTAGGTACATTGGTAATGCAGTTAAAATATTCAGCAATTCAGCTATGAAGAATTGTGCAAATCCCGGCATTGAATATTTCACGGGGCAATAATTTGTTACCAGCTTATGAGATGGTAACAAAATTTACCGGTTACAAGAGTATACAGAATGTGAAAAGGGTTTAAAAATTGACAGGAACTTTATTTACCGGTTACAAACTTCTTATTACCAGCGCATAATAGACAATTCAGTGAAAATAAAAAATACAAATAAACAAAGCAAATAAACCTCTTATATCTTCATTATTTTTTGCCTGCGCTAAATTTGGTATCGTTGTAATCAGCGTAAAAAGTTCTATCTATCGGCATTTTTGGTTATTTTATAGCTAAACGGTCACTATTCTAAACTTGTTCTAGAAAATTACATTTAGTATGACGAATTTTTGGTTTTACTACTAATATCACTAGAAACTGTAGAGTAAGCAACATTCTGCACAAGTAAAGGAGCCGATTTTATGTGTGGGAGCGAGAAGACTGTTTTATTACAAAACCTTTCTATTATTGAATCATGAATAAAAACGTTACGAGCAGGGTTGCCACTGACAAAAAAAAGATACTTACCATCCACTTGAAAAAAAATCTACCAAACCTGGAAAATATCTACCAGTAACGTATATATGCAAGAATTTATTTAATCGACCTTTAGTTGTAGATGTTTTTTCTGGTTTCTTTTGAGGTCAAGTTTTTATTTTTGTTTTACAAGTGTCCGATATTTCGGCTCTCAATGTAAGCCATCTTCAGAGACTCTAAATACAAAAACACTTAGAATACAACAAATTTCAACAAAAAGGCAAATCGACTTACATTAAAAGAAAAACTTAAAAACAAAACTAACATAAAGCACAAAAGGCCAAAGAAAATATAAATTATTTTTGCGTAGATGATTTCATCCTATGCTGTCAAGTGGCTGGACTTCGACTGATTTTGGTGTGTATTCTTTTTTTTTTTATCGATCAGGTGTCTGTAAGCATGAGCGACGTTCTCTGTGTCCGTTTTGTAATGTATTCTTAATTCTGTCGGTGTGTTAGTTATGTGTAGCATTTCCCAGTAGAAATTTTATGCACACGACATTGCTGTTGGTGGCATAAGCTTGCTGCTGTGTATACATGCCAGTATAACTGAACGTTCATTTCCATTTAACACGCGTGGTTTTTCAGAGCGTATGCGTACGTTAACTATACACTTGTACTACTGCTGTATGCATATGGCTGTATTAATGTTTCAAACATACAAAAATGCATTAATAGAACAGAATTAAAGCATTCTTACAAGATATGTATCCCTATATGTAAATGCTACTTCTCTGATATATTTTAATATACGGGGACATAAAAAAAAGTAGCACTTACATATGCAAACGCATATCTTGTAAAAGCCCGTTTGTGCTGAAAATAGTATCGCACAACACGTCCGTTCACTGACATTTTTGTACAAGACTGAAAATATTACAAAAATTCCACTTCAAATTTATCAAGAAATATACTTAAAACAACGACAACGTACATTCGCTAGAATTTGAATTTATTCGTGGAAATTCATCACTACGCATGAATTGTTCACACTAATCCACTCATAAAGCAAGCATTCTTCGTGAATGCATACAACCGATTTCTACTGGGTTCTATAGTCAGTCTCTTGATGTAATTGCTCTCATTTTTATGCGACAAATAAGAATATTATCGATTTTTGGAAAGAGTCAAACCCCGCCAACTGTGTCAATGAATTTTCATTAATTTTCTGGAAAGTGAAGACAATTGTGGGAATTTGTAGATAATTATAGAACAAAAATACACTTTGGACGGTTTTTCGAAATCGCACTTCTTTTTTTTTGCATTATAAGAATATTGCAATTTTTGAGAGAAAAATTCGTAACTCGCGACCCATTTGATGAAATTTGATGAAATATTTTTTGATAGTTGCTGAAGCTTTTCCCTTTACAATAGAAAGATTTGCAGAATAAAATTTGCAAAACAATTAATTCTTTGATAACAATAATTTAAACAATTGCAATTATTTATATATTCTAGGCCCGCGATTGCAGTGAAATTTTGGCACAATCTACTCTAAACTCTTGTTTTTAAGTTCCAAAAAGAAAAAGTTGGTATTTCCAATTTTGACAGTCACTATCGATTTTTTGCTCACCTTAAGCCTTGAGTAAATAGCTATTTTCATATAAGCTTGTGTGAGTGATAAAATTTTTATGTTAATGAATGAATAATTATACAAGTACGTACATTATTTAACGTATAACTTGAAACACCAATGTTTATTTACAACTTATGTTTATTTAAAACTTGAGAAAAAAAAATCGATAACGACTGTCAAAATTGGAAAGACCAATTTTTTCTTTTTGGAACTTAAAAACAAGAGTTTAGAGTATATTGTGCCAAAATTTCACTGCAATCGCGGGCCTAGAATATATAAATAATTGCAATTGTTTAAATTATAGTTATTATAGAGTAATTGTTTTGCAAATTTTATTCTGGAAATCTTTCTATTGTAAAGGGAAAAGCTTCAGCAACTCTCAAATAAAATTTCATCAAATGTGTCGCGAGTTACGAATTTGTCTCTCAAAAATTGCAATATTCTTATAATACCAAAAAAAAACAAAAACGAAGTGCAATTTCGAAAAACCGCCCAGAGTGTATTTTTGTTCTATAATTATCTACAGATTCCCACAATTGTCTTCACTTTCCAGAAAATTCATTGACACAGTTGGCGTGGTTTGACTCAAAATGATTACACGTGTATATCTTGGGAACCGCGCCACCAATTTGTCCCAAACTGGGCACGGTTGTTGGTCTTGCTACAGCATACCAAATAGCTGAAAAGTTTCAAAATCGGACAATAACCACGCCTACATCCCATATAACGGTAATTTAGAGAATTACGAAATCTTCGATAAGTCAGTAAATACCGAAGCTAATTTATTCAACATTAATGTTTGCAACAATTCTTTAGCTCAAAATACGTTTATGATAAAATTTTGGAAAATGGGCGTGGCACCGCCCACTTATGATCACATATATGTATCTCGGTAACCGTTCTACCAATTTGTACCAAACTCGGTATGGTTATTGTGCTTGCCACATAAAAGCAAAATGTTAAAAATTATTGAAATCGGTCTCAAATTACGGCCGCTTTTCATTTAACGGTAAATTTCAGAAATGCTTGAAACTTCGATATTTCGAAATTTAAGGAGGGTAATTTACACAAAATTGATACTAACAACGATCCCTTCAAAAGAGGTAACATTATTATGGAATTTTGGAAAATTGGCGTGATACCGCCCACATATAAC